CGCCCCCTGCTTCCGGCCGCCCCGCTTCCAGCCCTCATTCAGCCAGGAGGAGGCAGGAGAAGAGGGAGGGTAAGTAGCTTCCTCCCCGCCTCTCCCCACCCCTGCCTGCCTGGGGTCAGGGAGGGCCTTGGCGGGGCTTCCTCGCACTCCTGCTGGCCTTGCAGGTCCACCGCCGGGCCCCTGATGTCAGGGGGTGTGGCATATGCAAATGAGTGATGCTAATGAGTTCCCCTAGCTCTTTTTCTACGAAATGACCCCTGGCCAGGAGGCATCATCGGTGGAAGGTCTCGGCCTTTATGCCCTGTTGTTGACTCTCCAGAGGACCTAGTTGACCACTGTGTGAGTCAGGATGTTGGACTACCGTAGATGGACCACTGATGTGATCCAACAGGGCTCTTCTGATGTTCTTATTTGGAGCAAGTTCTTGGGGATTGAGCTGTTACAGACTGCTGTTAAGATTTTTCACTTCTTGTCTCAACCATTGTGATCTTAAGTTGTGCCAAGGATCTGTACCCCTCTCAAAACAGTGACACTTTCCCCTCGTGCCATTAGTGGAACAAATCAATGGAACCCAACACCTTGTGAGGAAAAGTGAATCTTCTAAATAAATAAAACCTACCCTCAAGGCCCTCTACTCTCCCCCCTCCCCAGTCTCCAAAGGAAGGAATCCACCCCTTCCCTTACTTTCCTGTGCAGGTTCCTTCCACCTCAGTGAACAGTTTCTGCTTAACTGTGTTGAGAAGACTGGGCCCAAAATACCGTGGATGCAGCAGGATTTCATGTTCCAGGGAGATCTGGAGGCATAAAGTAGGCAAGGTTGGGGAAGAGAACATTTGGTTGGGGGTCGAATATTTAAAATATTTACAGTTAAAACGACGGACTGACAGATGTACACATATTATATACCTATATATAATAAAATATTTATCAGCAGTTAATGTCTTGTTCTTGATTAAGGCAGAAATGCCTTAAATAAAATAGAACACACACACACACACATCTGAACAACTAGGTCTATTCGGAGCTAACAAATCAAGAAAGCAGCACATGAACAATTAAAACTACCAGACCGTACAAGCTTTCAAATAAAACAATTTTAATGTGGTGCCAAAATAGATAATGAGTAGATGATTTCTGAGTATCTCAAGGGAGGCAATTTGACAATAACCTATATGATACAACAGAGAAGAACCCATCTTCCCCCTCCTCCACAAAAAAACTACAAAAGGAACAGCAGGCATACAGAACAGAATCTCCAATGACAATCTCAGTAAACAGGCAGGCAGATACAGTACAAGTTGGACTTTCAGAGATTAACAGTAACACAGTAAAATATTAGACCAAGGCCACGGGAGAAGTGGAAATGTCAGCTTTGGGTTTTCCCTGTCCTGCCACAGCAAGTTCACCCGTGCTAGGAACCAGTTACAAGTCCTAATGTGGCTACTATAAGGGATCAATGCAATCCAAACCCTAGAACATGATATCCCAATTACTACAATACTTTTCTTTTTGCGTGGGGGGGCTGCCTTTGAAGAGTGTTTGGAAGCTCTGGGTGCCCCACAAAGATCAGGAACCTATTTGCCCTCTTTCAAGACAGCTGCTCTCTCCCACGAAGCCATCCAAGTTAGTACCCACGACTTGTAGGAAGTGTCATAAACCAAAAACATGCCACCTGAAGAAGTATTGCTTTTCGTATGCCTCGCACGTATTGCACCCCCGAGCGTAATGTCAGCGCAAGAGAAATCTTTCTCCGTAATTTTATCAACCTTTACCACGTCCCCATTCGTAGAAGAATTACAATAAGGAAAAGTGGGAGGAAAACACACGCCAACCCCCTTACTCACGTGGTAAAACATCCCGCACGTCCCTTCTCCCCGCTTTTCTTTCTAGACCGGAAGGAACGCTCAGACACTCTAGTTACGGGCTGTTGCAAAACATCTTCCTTTCAGGTTCATTGAAAGAAAAGCAAGAGGCCAAATTGTGTATCCAGCGCAGTCCCTATTTTCTGGTTCCTGTCAGATCACTTGTTCCTTGCCCAGGATCTTTAGAAGTCAAATCTGTGGACAACGGAGCAGATATTTGTTCTAGTAAATGTCGTTCTTTTGGCTAATCACACCCGTTTTGACTTTCAAATTAGTGGAGGACTGGGCTGTTTCAAGCAGTGAATACAAACTAGGACTCCCAAGCGAACAGCCCTCGACCTCAACAGTGTAAAGTAGTGGAGGAGGTGAAGAGTATGTGTAGTAGTTAGAGTGTCTGAAGATGATCTGGGAAATGCAGGTTAGAATTCCCACTCTGCTGTGGAAGCTTACTGGACAACCTCAGGCCAGTCACGCACTTTCAGCCCAATCTACCTCAGGGTTGTTGTCTGCATAAAACTGAGAAGGAGAGAATGCTGGAATCCTCTTTGGGTCCCCATTGGTGGGAAAGGCTGGGGTACAGGTGACATAACTTGCTGAAAAAATAAAATGTGTCAAGTGGCCTCTGGAAGGAGACTAGGGAGTGTTTGGGTGTGCCACCCTCCAGACAATTGAGATCCATTCCCCTGGAGAAAATGGCTGCTTTGGAGAATGGACTTTATGGGGTTATACCTTGCTGACGGGGACGGCAAAGGATGAGATGGTTAGACAGTGTCATAGATGCAGCGAACATGAAATTGAGCAAACTTCAGAGGACGGCAGAAGACAGGAAGGCCTGGCGGGAGCTGGTCCACAGGATCGCGAAGAGTTGGACTCGACTGTGCGACTGAACAACAACAACCTTGCTGAGGCCCCTCCCCATGCTCTGCCCCCAAATCTCTAGGGATTTCCCAACTGGGAGATAGCAACCAGTGTTCTGTCTTAAGATGAAATAGTGTGAGTTAGCTCATAGTTTTTTAGCTTCCATCTCACACATTTATGTCTTAGCTCAGGAAGGATGGCTCCAGAGCAAACTAATTTAATTCATGCAGTAGCCAGATCGCTTGCTCACAACTTAGAGGGAGCATGATTGGGAACCCTAGTTGCACGAATGCCCCTATTTTGAATCTGTCAGCTGCTGAAGGACATTCATACATGCCATGTGCAATTCACAAACAACAAAAGCAGGGTATACACACCAGTGACGTTCAACACTTCTTTATTAAAAACGGTCATCGTATAAAAATATAAATTCTGCAATAGAAAGCAAATCCCTCCCCGCTTCTCCCATTCCAGAGCTGTTCAGGCCCTTTTTATAACCCACCTATTGCTCAAAGCGCATATGGATAAAAGACACACAATTGCTTAACTAAAAAAGTCATTCCCTGAGTAAAAAAGCAGGTTCATTGAAAAGACCACAGTGCCAAGGACACTGCCTGCCTGTTGTCTCCAACAGGGCCCGATTTCTTTATATGTAGGATATAACAAGAACAAACTTATAATACATCCCCCTCCCCAGTCAGTGCATGCCTGCACACAGAGATTATCGGTAACCAACAAAGGTTGGTTAATATATCACAAAGCAGTGAGCAAGCTTTTGGGCTCTCCAGAATTCTTTTATCAGCTGTGTACCCAGTACAAAAAACATTGTTAAGGGGGTGATGGGAAAAAGAAAACGTTTTTCGGGCTGTTGGGGAAATGCCCCAAGTCTTCAGCTTTGTGGAATTTTCAAATAGAATACAGAATATGTTCCAGTTGTATCAGGATTAAGGTGTACTGGGTGCGAGACAGGTTTTCAGGATGTAGCGAAGACTTTTTGGGAAAAGGGGGGAGGAGAATGTCAACTTCCTTTTAAGATTCTTTAAGCCTGTAAATCAAATGTCTACCTGGCCCTAAGGAAACACACAGGGGTCATGTAAGAACGAGACAGACTCATGGAGGAGAGGTCTATCAGTAGCTACTAGCCATTGGTGACTAAAGGGAACCTCCACGTTCAGAGGCAGTCAGCAGTGTTCCCTCTAAGCTAAATTAGTGTGAGTTAGCGCACAGTTTTTTAGCTTCCATCTCACACATTTTTGTCTTAGCTCAAGAAGGATGGCTCCAGAGCAAACTAATTTACGCAGCAGCCAAATCGCTTGCTCACAACTTTAATGCCAGGAGCTCACAAAGTAGAATTTTTGCTCACCAGACTCAACAGCTTAGAGGGAGCACTGGCAGTCAGCCTCTGAATCCCGGAGCCAGGAGGCAACATCAGTGGAAGGCCTCGGCCTCTCTGCCCTGTTGCTGGCCCTCCGGAGGAACTGGTTGGGGCCACTGTGTGAGACAGGATGCTGGACTAGATGGACCCTCACTGGTCTGACCCAGCAGGGCTCTTCATATGTTCTTATGAGAGGAAGGCCTCAGCCTCTCTGCCCTGTTGTTGGCCCTCCAGAGGAACTGATTGAGGCCACTGTGTGAGACAGGAGGCTGGACTAGATGGACCACTGGTCTGACCCAGCAGGGCTCGTCTGATGTTCTTAAAAGAAGGACAGAAGAGTCCTTACAAAGTAGCTGCAGTGCTAAAAACATCTTCTAAAAAGGGATGCACATTCCCCCCTCCCCCAACTGAGCTCTTCCAGTCCTCTCCATAAAAATGCCTTTCTAGAAGGCAAACGCAAAGTGAAGCCCCCCTATGACCCTAGCTGGATCCGTACCCGAAGTTTCTGGGGGCTCAGGAGCCGCTGGTCAGCATGGCCGCTGTGTGCATCTGATTCCCCCCTCCCATGTTCTCAAACAGCAGAAAGAGGCAGGAACGGGAGAGCAGGACTGGTACCTGAGAATCGCTTGTCTACTGGATGTAACTTTATTTTCCCACACAATGGCAAAGACACATTTATTCGAACCAGCTGAAAACCAACCAAGTTGTGCAAACTTTTTTTAAAGCCATCAAAACTTTTTAAGGTAGATGGGGGGGGGGGGCAGGGATGCCACTAAATATGGTGGAAGCCCAGTCTGCGTTTTTAAGAGCTGGAACGGAGGGGGCAGACTGCAGACATCATAGATGCCTGGTACAAAAAGATATACAGGTGCAGCAAGGTATGCTGAGAGATCAAAAAGGACTCTCTCCTCTCCCAGCATCCTTTCTGCTGCCTGAGACCTTTCCCTGTCAAGCACCTGGTTTAATTCTGCAAGCCACCTCTTCCATTCCGCCTGAAGACTTTTACAAACTGAAGGCTGGGGGAGGTGGGGGTGTCTCCTGCTCATCCAGCAGTGTCTCTTTCTCCCTCATCACATAACCTTTTATTCTTTTTGCTACTGTCATTCAGCATCCAGCTTGATGGAAAGCTCTGATGAACTCTGATAAAGTTTTCGATGATTATAAGAAAGTCGTCACTTTCCTGCTCCATCACAGATTTTTTCTTGGGGACCAAGATAACAAACTTGTGCTTTAAAGCTCTTCCTTCTCCAGAGATTGTCCAGAATATACTGAAAAATTAAGACCAGCTATGTATCCCTCTCTATCCCCAAAAGACACAGCTGAGCTCCCGCTGATCTCCCCCCCGCAAGCGACCCCACACCTTAGTAAAGCTCCAGCTCTGCACAACAGAGCTAGATGCAAGCCAAGCGTAGCATCAGCTGCCTGCCTTCCTTCGGCAGCATGTCAAAACCCACAATCCAAGCCCAACAAATTTTTAAAAAGAATATTGTAGTTAAAAAAAAAGTTCCCATTTTTGCTACATGGTTTACAGCACGCACGCACCTTGCCCTGCTGCCACCCGAGTCCACATTATTGCTGATACCAACTACTTGCCCCACCCTCTGAAGTAGGGTTGCCAGTCTCCAGGTGGTAGCGGCAATCTCACCTGGAGGTCGCCTGGAGAAAATGGCCACTTTGGAAGGTGGACTCTATGGTATTATATCCTCCCCTCCTCAAACCCCGCCCCTCCTCAGGCTCCACCCCCCAAAATCTCCAGGTATTTCCCACCCTGGAGCTGGCAACCCTATGAAAACACTCCACATCCTCTGTGGCTGTGCTGACCACGGCTCTTCTTTCGGTGGCTTATGGTGGGACGTCTGGTCCGTTCCATGAGAAGGATTTGAAGATTGGTGGCAGCTTAAGAACATCACAAGAGTCCTGCTGGCTGAAGCCAAAGGTCCATCTAGTCCAGCGTCCTGCTTCCAAAAGCAGCCAAACAGAGGCTTTTGGGATGGCCGGGGCGCAAAGGCTTCTCCACTGCAGGGTGCTGGGGGCGGGGCCACCGGCCGTCCTAATCCCTCTTAGCACAACTCCTGTGACTGCTGAGTGGCAACACATTGGAGGAATCCCAGTCCCGGAGGAATACTTGCTCCAGCTGGTGGCGCAGGGTGAATTCCTGGCCTGCCGTAATACTGTCGTGGTCGCTCTGGTTGACGATCAACCCCACCCCTGCGGTTTTGGTAAAATAATCTTCAGACCAGTTGGAGGTACCTGGAGGAGGAAAAAGATACCCAACCGTAACCAGGGGTCGTTTCGTAGAAAAAGAGCTAGGGGAACTCATTAGCATAACTCATTAGCATATGCCACACCCCCTGACATCACCGGAAGTGTGTCATAAGGCCACACCCCCTGACATCACCGGAAGTGTGTCATAAGGCCACACACCCCGCCCCCAACGGTCCCGGCCAAAAAACATTTGGCAACCCTACATATCTGAGAGCTTGTGTGTGGTGTAGTGGTGTGAGTGTCGGACTAGGGGTGTGGGCCACCCAGGTTCCACATCCCCATTCTGCCACAGAAGCTTGCTGGAAGACCTTGGGCTGGTCACATACTCTCAGCCAGGGCTATTTTTTGGCAGGAACACACAGGAATGGAGTTCCGGCAGGCTTCAGAGTTGGCCACACCCACTACAGCCGGCCGAATGGTGGGGAGGGCGGGATATAAATGTAAATATAAATTAATAAATACAGCCAAAACCTCTGCGTGCCTGGCTACAGACGGAAGGCCTAGAGAGCGACCCCTCCCCAGTGACTCCGAGGCGGGCGGGCCCTG